ACATGAACCACTGCACCCAGCCTAATTCTTCTTTTTCATTTTTTTTTCTTTTTCTTTTTTTTTTTTTTTTTTTTTTTTTTTTGAGACGGAGTCTCGCTCTGTCGCCCAGGCTGGAGTGCAGTGGCCGGATCTCAGCTCACTGCAAGCTCCGCCTCCCGGGTTCACGCCATTCTCCTGCCTCAGCCTCCCGAGTAGCTGGGACTACAGGCGCCCACAACCGCGCCCGGCTAATTTTTTGTATTTTTTTAGTAGAGACGGGGTTTCACCGTGGTCTCGATCTCCTGACCTTGTGATCCGCCCGCCTCGGCCTCCCAAAGTGCTGGGATTACAGGCTTGAGCCACCGCGCCCGGCCTTTTTTTTTTTTTTAAAGACGGAGTCTCGCTCTGTCGCCCAGGCTGGAGTGCAGTGGCCAGATCTTCGCTCACTGCAAGCTCCACCGCCTGGGTTTATGCCATTCTCCTGCCTCAGCCTCCTGAGTAGCTGGGACTACAGGCGCCCACCACCTTGCCCAGCTAGTTTTTTTGTATTTTTTTAGTAGAGATGGGGTTTCACCGTGTTAGCCAGGATGGTCTCGATCTCCTGACCTCGTGATCCGCCCGTCTCGGCCTCCGAAAGTGCTGGGATTACAAGCTTGAGCCACCGCGCCCGGCTCTTTTTTTTTTTTTTTTTTGAGATGAAGTCTAGCTCTGTTGCCCAGGCTGGAGTGCAGTGGTGCAATCTCGGCTCACTGTAACCTCTGCCTCCCGGGCTCAAGCGATTCTCCTGCCTTAGCCTCCCAAGTAACTGGGACTACAGGCAGGTGCCACCACACCTGGCTAATTTTTGTATTTTTTGTGGAGACGGGGTTTCACCACGTTGGCCAAGCTGGTCTCAAACTCAAGTGATCTGCCTGCCTCCGCCTCCCAAATTGCTGGGATTACAGGCGTGAGCCACTGTGCCCAGCCTATTTCTTCTTTAAAACACTTATCACTTCTGCAATGTCTATTATGCTTCAAGAAATTTTATTTTAAATCACCATCTAACCTGTTTTACTTACTTACTTATTTGTCTTGTTTATTGTCTGTCCCCCCTCCTTCCCACTAGAACATAAGCTCCCTGAAGATAGGGGTGGAAATCTGCTTTATCCATTAATGTTTCTCCAGTACATCAGCAAATATTTGTTGAACAAATGAATAAAATGGAGGAAGCTCTTGCTTTGGGGTTTTTCCGACTGTTGGAAAAATATTCTCACCACTGGAAACAGAGAATTCTCCTGGCCCAGCACCAAGCCCGAGCTTTTAGCTTGTTCAAGAGTACTTCCTCAGTTTGGACCCTTATTCCCATGGGAGAGGAGACATTCCAAGGGCATTTTGATAGGAGTCAGAGCCTTTCTGTGGGAGGAGGAATGTGATTTTGGAAAAATTGTCTGAACCTTGCTTTGTTTTATTTTTTTATTTTTTATTTTTGAGATGGAGTCTTGCTGTGTCGTTCAGGCTGGAGTGCAGTGGTGTAATCTCGGCTCACTGCAGCCTCTACTTCCTGGGTTCAAGCGATCCTCCTGCCTCAGCCTCCCAAGTAGCTGGGATTACAGGGCACGCCACCCACGCTTGGCTAATTTTTGTATTTTTAGTAGAGACGGGGTTTTGCCATGTTGGCCAGGCTGGCCTCAAACTCCCGGCCTTAGGTGATCCGCCTGTATCGGCCTCCCCAAAGTGCTGAGATTATAAGCATGAGCCGCTGTATCTGGCCTGAACGTTGCTTTATAAGGTGAGGGAGTACCCCCATCCCAGCAACTGGCACAGTGCTTAGTATGTGGCAAGCACTTAATTTATTTTCTTTGTTTGTTTTGAGATGGACCCTTGCTCTGTTGCCCAGGTTGGAGTGTAGTGGCGTGATCTTGCGATCTCGGTTCACTGCAACCTCCGCCTCCTAGGTTCCAGCGATTCTCCTGCCTCAGTCTCCTGAGTAGCTGGGATTATAGGCGCGCACCACCATGCCCAACTAGTTTTTTGTATTTTTAGTAGAGATGGGGTTTTGCCATGTTGGCCAGGCTGGTCTCGAACTCCTGACCTCAGGTGATCCACCCGCCTCAGTGTCCCACAATGCTGGGATTACATGCATGAGCCACTGCGCCTGGCCTGTTTTCGTACATTTTTAGAGCACATTACCTAAATATCTGGTGCTCTCTTAGTGCTGGGGATACCATGGAAAGCAAAGCAGGCAAGGTTTCTGCTCTCGTGAATCTTATATTCTTACTGGAGAAACATGTAAAATGTTATGTAGTTTTAGATAGTACAAGTGCTGTGTTGAAAATAAAGCAGAGGCCAGGCGCGGTGGCTCAAGCCTGTAATCCCAGCACTTTGGGAGGCCGAGACGGGTGGATCACGAGGTCAGGAGATCGAGACCATCCTGGCTAACACGGTGAAACCCCGTCTCTACTAAAAAAAAAAAAAAATACAAAAAAAAAATAGCCGGGCGAGGTGGTGGGCGCCTGTAGTCCCAGCTACTCGGGAGGCTGAGGCAGGAGAATGGCGTGAACCCGGGAGGCGGAGCTTGCAGTGAGCTGAGATCCGGCCACTGCACTCCAGCCTGGGCGACAGAGCGAGACTCCGTCTCAAAAAAAAAAAAAAAAAAGAAAAGAAAGCAGGGTCCCAGCTACTCAGGTGGCTGAGGTGGGAGGATAACTTGAGCTCAGGAGTTCTGGGCTATTATGCACTATGCCAGTCAGGTCCCGCACTAAGTTCAGCGTCAATATGATGACCTCCCAGGAGCGCAGGACTACCGGGTTGCCTAAGGAGGGGTGAACTGGCCCAGTAGGTCAAAACTCCTGTGCTGATCAGTAGTGGGATTGTGCCTGTGAATAGCCACCGCACTCCAGCCTGGGCAACATGCGGAGACCCTGTCTCGTAAAAAAAATGAAAATAAAGCAGAGCTCCAAGTGTGGTGACATCATGCCTCTAATCCCAGCACTTTGGGGAGACCACGGTGGGTGGATCACTTGAGCCAGGAGTTCGAGACCAGCCTGGGCAATGTGGTAAAACCCCATCTCTACAAAAAATACAAAATTAGTCAGGCATGGTAGTGCGTGCCTGTAGTCCCAGCTACTCAGGAGGCTGAGGTGGGAGGATCGCTTCAGCCCAGGAGGCAGAGGCTGCAGTGAGCCGAGATCGTGCCACTGCACTCCAGCCTAGGTGACAGAGTGAGACCCTGTCTTAAAAAAATAAATAAAATAAAATAAAATAAAAAAAGCAGGGGTGGTACTCGGGAACTTACATAGGTAGAAGTAGAGGTTGAGGTGGGTAGGGAGGATACTGTTAGTAATCAGTAATGGCTTCCTTGAAGATTTGAACTGAGACCTCAAAGACAGGTGGCAGCAAGGGCTGTCACATTGTACAACTCTAGGGCCACTGTTCACATTATTCTGTGCAATTGGTGCTCCCTGGAGTTGTACAATGCTGGGAGTCCTGGTGAAGGTCCTAGGCAGTGAAACAGCTAGTATAAAGGCCCTGAGGGCAGCAGGGACCTTGAGGTGTTTAAGGAAAAGAAAGGCCAGTACGTCTGGGGCTTGGTGAGAGAGGAGAACAGTGGAACAAGATGAGGTTGCAGAGTTTGAAGGCAATGTAAAGAATGTGACATTCAATAAATTATTTGTTGACTAATGAGGAAAGAAAAAGCAGGAGGCTGGAGTGGGGTTTTAGGAAGCATTCCAGTATGGGACCTCTCAGCTCTAGTATGAAGACAGGAGAACTGAGTTGAGTGACGGTTTTATTTCCCCAAAAAGGAAATAGTAGCAAAAATGGCTCAAAGGAAATGCCATTAAGATATATATATGTATATTTATAGTACATCATGACATTCAAAGCCATGAAGATATTTGAATCTACTTTGGTAGTGACTAAGAGGGAGGCACATTGCTTTTATTTATAGTACATCATGACATTCAAAGCCATGAAGATATTTGAATCTACTTTGGTAGTGACTAAGAGGGAGGCACATTGCTTTTTAATACCGTCTTACCTTGTTGAATGTCTCGCCTTGATTATCTCTTTGGGTGGCAGTGGGAATATTATTACCATTTAGCATTGCTCAGCCATGACATGATGTATTCATGTACAGAACACACAAAAAGTACAGTCCTTGCCCTTGGGGGAACTGAAATGCCAAAAAGATTTATTTCTTCCCATTGCCCTGTTTCAGGTTTCTTGATCTTCTGGGATGGCTGGGTTCCCAGAGTTCTGGAGGAGAGTGTGGGTGGACAAAAGGCCCTTGGGCAGATGCCTTGCCTCTTGGGTCAGTAAGAAGTCCCCATGCTGCACACTTAGGCACAGAGGGCACCTCGCTTCCCAAATCAGATTGTGATCTTGTCGCCACTGGCCTAGCCTGTCTTTTTTTATTTTTAAGAAGACCTTTGTAAAGGTGTTTGCTTTAAGCCAAAGCCAAGAGTGGGAGCTACCATATTGATGCCAAGAAACCCAAGCACTAGGCTTCTTCCTTGGCCCAGAATTCCTGTAGTGCTCCAGGCTAGCTTAGGATTCCCCTGGGGACTGGCTGACCTTTGAGTTTGGGGGTGGTTGGGAGTAGATGGAAGAAGGTGCAACAGATGTCCAGCAGGGGGATGGTTGACTGTGAGCTTTTTACCCGCCCTGCAAGAAAGGGTCTGCTGCCCTTGGCTTGGAATTTCTAAAATTCAGTATCTTAGCTGGTACAGTAGCTCACGGCCTGTAATCCTAACACTTTGGGAGGCCGGAGGTAGGAGAACTGCTTGAGCCCAGGAGTTCAAGACCAGCCTGGGCAACATAGTGCGGCCTCATCTCCACAAATAATAAAAAAAATTAGCCAGGCATGGTGGCATGTGTCTGTAGTCTCAGCTACTTGGGAGGCTGAGGTGGGAGGATTACTTGAGCCCAGGAGATCAAGGCTGTAGTGAGCTGTGATCACGGTACTACACTCTAGCCTAGGCAACAGAGTGAGACCCTGTCTCAAAAAATAAATAAAAATAAAATTCAGTGTCTTATTCCAGGAAACCCTTTGCTCACTGAAAGCCCAGGACAGAGTTAAGCTGCCTGAAGTGTTGGGAGCCGGAAAAGTTTGTTTGGCTGGATTCTCAGCTGAATCAGGGCCGGGAGCCACTGTTTTTGAACTTGAGGAATGCTGTGGGAACATGGTCTTTGGCTCCCAGCAAGACATCTCAGGAACCGTCTACTTGAGTGAGGCAAATGCATTCCATGAATCTGGTTGGATGTTGTATAGCGCAAAGAAAGCACCTTTAACCCAGAGTTGCAACTCAAAGGTGGCTGCTGCAACTACATAACATTTTTACATGTTTCTCCAGTAAGAATATAAATTGGACTCCCACCTCAGAGTGAGAGTGCAGTCTTGGCTGATGTGGTTTTTTTTCCCTTTCTTTTTTTTTTTTTTAAGATTATACAAAATTGATTAAATATAACTAGAGATTTATGTTTTCTTTTTTTTCTATTATTTTATTTGTTTTTATAACTGGAGATTTAAAAAAGCTTAGCTATATCAGAATATACCATATAAACATATTTCAAAAGTTATTTTTACAAAGTTTTACTACGTACAGTAGTATTTGTGTTGTCACCCAACACCATTTTGGAAATGTCTAATAAAGTACCAGTAATTGTGAATTATAAATAAAAAATCTCTGCAGTTGTTTATTTAGTAGTTGTTGACTAAATTCTGTTGTAATGACTGTGACTCAAAGCATCACACAAAGGAACTCTCAGGTCTGGTTAGAAGGTTCTGGGAGGGACCCAAGGTCAGGAAATTGGGCAAAGCTGAAAGACTCGGGCAGCTTTTGAAGGACTGGGCTGATTAAGACCCAGAGCCCAGAAGTTGGGGAAGCTGGAGGCATCTGCTGATACTTTAAAGGATAAACGAAGAGCAGAGTTTGCTTTGAGTGAGTACTATGAAAAGCAAAGTTCCAGCCGGGTGCAGTGGCTCGTGCCTATAATCGCAGCACTTTGGGAGGCCTGGGCAGGTGGATCGCGAGGTTAGGAGTTCGAGACCAGCCTGGCCAACATGGAAGGCTGAGGCAGCAGTGAGCCATGATCATGCCACTGCACTCCAGCCTGGGCAGCAGAGTGAGACTTTATCTCTACTAAAACCCCATCTCTACTAAAAATACAAATATTAGCCGGGAGGCCGAGGTGGACAGATCATGAGGTCAAGAGATCAAGACCATCCTGGCCAATGTGGTGAAACTCCATCTCTACTAAAAATACAAAAATTAGCTGGGCGTGATGGCGGGCACCTATAGTCCCAGCTACTCGGGAGGCTGAGGCAGGAGAATCGCTTGAACCCGGAGGCAGAGGTTGCAGTGAGCCGAGATCATGCCACCACACTCCAACCTGGTGACAGAGTGAGACTCCGTCTCAAAAAAAAAAAAAAAAGAAAAGGAAAGTTGCACACTAGCTGCCGTGGAAGAGCACTTGCTAGGTGGCAGACACTGTGCTGTCCCACCAAAGCCTCCCACCCTGTGAGATAAGCGTTCTTTTCCCCAGTTTTGCAGATGAGGAGCCTGGTGCACATGGAAGTTAACTTGCTTACCAGTCAGCTAGAGAAAGGTTGGAGCTGGGATTTGATCGGCTCAGTTGACTTCCACAGCCTGTATTCTCGTCCACTTCGCTGGGCTCCTCTCTGGCATCTTATTGGATGCCTGGAGTAGTACGTTAATAATTTCATGCAGTTTCCACCCAAGTCCACCCAGAGACCTCCAAAGGGTCCAAGGATCGTGAGACTAAGAACGTTTGACACCCTGCCTTCCTCACTTCCCCAATTTCCCTGTCTCTCAGCCAGGCTCACCACTCTGCCTAAGTCCTTCAGCCCATAACCTTGGGCTGGCATTTAGTTTCTCTTTACCCTTGTCCACTATTTTAAATCTTTTTTTTTTTTTTTAATGGAGACAGGACTCACTCTGTTGCCCAGCCTGAGTGCAGTGGCACAATCATAGCTCACTGCAGCCTCAAACTCCTGGGCTCAAGTGGGGTCCTCATGCCTCAGCCTCTTGATAGCTAGGACTTCAGGTTTGTGCCACCATGCTTGGTTAACTTTTAAATTTTTTATAGATATGGGGGTTTCACTATGTTGCCCAGGCTGGTCTTGAACTCCTGGGCTCAAGCAATCCTTCTGCCTTGGCCTCCCAAAGTGCTGGGATTACAGGTGTGAGCTGGCTGTGTCTGGCCTTCTGTGACTCTTAATCCCAAGGCAATAACCCAAATATGGGAAGGAAACGAGGTAATACGCACAAAAATATTTTCCAAGGCATAACTTGGAAGCAACTTTATGTCCAACAAGAAAGCAGTGGTCAAATAAGGGACTATATATGGTTTTTCCTGGTTTCGTAATAAATGATAATAGTAATTATCAAGAAAATTGTGTTTCTTGGCTGGGCGTGGTGGTTCATACCTGTAATCCCAGCTCTTGGGAGGCTGAGTCAGGAGGATTGCTTGAGCCTAGAAGTTTGAGACCAGCCCAGGAAACATAGCATACCCCATCTCTACCCCAAAAAAAAAAAAATTATTAATCAGGTGTAGTGGTGTACACATGTAGTCCAGCTACTCAGGAGACTGAGGCAGGAGGATCACTTGAGCCTGGAAAGCTGAGGCAGCAGTGAGTCATGATCATGCCACTGCACTCCAGCCGGGCAACAGAGTGGGACTTTATCTCTAAAAGAATAAAAATAAAAACAGTAATTTCTTATTGTGTAAACTGACGATCAAAAATTGGAGAGCCTTAGAGTCTTAACCAAGGGGCAGGCACCCCCAGAACAACGTCAGAAACTCAAAATTGCAGGGCTGGTTCAGGCTTATTACTCCCATCGCCCAGCCTTTGTAGTCCCAGCTGGTTTTGCTGGACAGGTCACCTTTCTTGTGAGCTGATATCCATTCCTTTGTTCAGCTGCTTCACTAAGCACTCCTGTGCCAGTCAGTGGGGGTATACAAAGGGTAAATCCTTTCCTGATGGGAGAGATAGGCAGCTGAAATACAGCAAGGAGAGTCCTGTGATGGAGATTTGCACAGCGGTAAGGAAGAAGTGATGAGAGCCCTCTCTTGGTCAGGTCCCAATAAGGGATTGGTGCCTTCAAAGTAGGATATTGGAGGAAGGTGTATTTATAAAGGACTAGCACCATAGGTGATAGTGATGTAACCCAGGGCTAGTGGTTGGCCTGACTGCCACTCTCCTAAGGCTGAAGGACCAGAGGAGGGAGTGTTATCCAGGAACCTAGAGGAGAAAGTTTGTTGAGTGTTCTTGAGAGTGACTGTTAGCAGTGACTGTCAATCAAGGGACATAGCACCTTGGGCATCCCAAAGGGAGGGAACTCTAGCCTTGCCTCTCCTCCCTTCTGCTGATTTCCTGTCAGAACTTTTTTTTTTTTTTGAGATGGAGTCTTGCTCTGTTGCCCAGGCTGGAGTGCAGTGGCATAGTGGCATGATCTTGACTCACTGCAGCTCTGCCCCCCGAGTTCAAGCGATTCTCCTGCCTGAGCCTCCTGAGTAGCTGGGATTACAGGCACGTGCTACTATGCTCAACTTTTTTTTTTTTTTTTTTTTTTTTTGTATTTTTGGTAGAAACAGGGTTTCACCATGTTGGCCAGGCTGGTCTGGAACTCCTGACCCTCTAGTGATTCTCCCACCTCAGCCTCTCAAAGTGCTGGGATTGCAGGCGTGAGCCCCATGCTCCTGTCAGAACTTTCACTGGATGAACCCAGTTAGATGCCAGAGGGCCTAGGAACCCCACACAGGCCAACTCCAGGGCAGAGAGCAGGGTAGACATACTGGTTTTCTGTTGCTGCAAATCAGCAGCTTACAACAACACACATTTGTTCTCTCACATCTCCTTTGCACCAGGAGTCCAGGAATTGCTCATCTGAGTGCTATACTTAGGTCCTCCCAAGGCTGCGGCCAGAGTGTCAGGCGGGCTGCATCCTCATCTGGGGCTCCAGTGGGGAAGGATCTGCTTCCTAGCTCCCTCAGGTTGTGTTGGCAGAATTCCTTTCCGTGGAGCTGTCTGGGATCTGTCTTGCACAGTGGGGAATGGAAGGGCAAACAGAAGATACTCGGAGAAGGTGACACCTGAGCCTTCCTGAAGATGAGCAGAGGGCAAAGAAGAGAACACCTGTACAGAGTTTCAGAGGCAAGGGAGTCATCAGTGTGTCCACAGATCTGCCAGTCCATTCCTTTGGCCTAGAGTATAAGGCAGAGGAGGTGCAGGACCTGGTTCATGGTGACCTTGTGAGTCTTACTGAGAAGTCTGCACTTTATCCTGCAGATTGGGGATAGGGATGGGCTTTGGAGGATTTTTAAGCAAGAGAAAGGTGTATCATTTCCATTTTGGGAACAACACTGAACAGCAGGAGGCAGGAGATCAGTGAGGAAGAGGTTGTTGGTCACCGAGTGAAGTATGCAGAAGGCTAACCCATGGTGTGGCAGTTGAGATGGAGAGAAGAGACAGATTGAGGGCCACTGAGAAGGGAGGGGGCAGAGTTTCCAGAACTCACTGACTGTCTGACCAGCTGCACATGGGGGAGAGGGAGGACTGGAGGATAACTCTTGGGATTCTGGCCTGGTGGATTTTTAGTTCCTATTGCTGCCATAAAAAATTACACTAAATTAGTGTCTTAGAACAATGTACACTTATTATGTTATAATTCTGGGGGTCAGAAGTCTAACATCGTCACTGGGTCAAAATTAAGGTACAGGCTGGGTGTGGTGGCTCACACTTGTAACCCAGCAC